AAAAAAAAAAAAAAGATATCTTTATACATAATTATATATTTATATAACTTATAGACATATGTGTAAATATATATTATTTATAATATAATATATAATTATAAATAAATATAAACATAATATAATTATAAATGTAAATATAATATAAATTTATAAGTGTACATTATACCTATATGCTATAATATAGGTATATTATAAATGTATAGTTTGTTCATAAATACATATAATTACTATATAAACATATAATTAAATATTATATAAACATATAATATTTAAGTATATATAAAATATTTCACTAGAACACCCAGAAACTTTTGTTCTAGATCAAAATATATATATTTTGACTCATTTATTGGCTCATGAGTTAAAACTCATTCAAAAGCACAGTATTCATTTGGTCTCTTAAATAGAATGTCCATATGTTATTTGTATCAAAATTTTCTGATCTCAACACACAAGATATGCATGGCAGAAAATAAGAGTCAAGATATTAGAACTGCTGGCCTGTTGTAGCCCCAACCATACTGTAACTCCTAAACCAAGAAGGCAGGGAGCACAAATGGAGGACAAAAACATATGTTTTAAAATCATTCGCAGCTTTTAAATGTTTATGTATTCTATGTTGCAACTTCTCTTTATTATTTTCTTTACTGTGTATTTAGTGATTTTTTGTATATATGTTCTACATCACATGTTGTATAAAAGCTGAGAGTTCACTTCTGAACTTTGATGGCCATATAGGAGCAAAGATCTAGAACAAAAGCACTGGCTCTCCTAGTGAAATATTCAATCCCGGGTATGGCATCCAGTCAGTCCCCTGGGTCTCTCCTCCATACTACCCCCACTTCTGTTCTGCCACACAATGCCCTTGTTTCAGCTCTTTTTGTTTCTGGTTTAAACACTGCTCTGTCTACCTAGTCTTTATCCCCTGGTTCCCAGCCCATCCTGTGGGAGTGTTCAGAATGAAGGCTTCCTAATGGTATTAAAGAAGAACAGGCCTGAGCAGGTCTCCAGAAAAAGTCTCCTTTCTCCCATCACATGTTCCTTGGCACCACGTCAGAGGCCGTAGATCTGACCCAGAATGGAATTTCTTACATGCCTACATCTCACTCCATATCTGTGTTTATTTTTTCTTTTTTTAATCAGTTTTGTCTTCTACTTAACTCATCTGAATGTATTTATTTTTTGAGGTCATTTTTATCATTTCACTCAGTCCATCCTTGATTTTTCTCAGAGTGCAGTGGGCCATGAGTACGTTGCCGAGGTGGAGAAGCACTCTTCTCAGACAGATGCTGCCAGAGGCTTTGGGGGCAAGTACGGAGTTGAGAGGGACAGAGCAGACAAGGTAAGTGACAACTCTGTCTCCCCACCACCCACCTCAAGTCATGTAAAACTTGCCCACGCTCACCCCTGGATGTAGGCCCATGCTTCTTTGTTGAAAGACATGACAGTGGATGCTGTGAGGACCTGACACCATTACAGGGATACCTCCCTCAGCAAGTTCCTTGGTGCCAATGTTGGAAACCACACACTGAGCTGCAAGACAGCGATTCAAATAAGGAGAAGACTCTCAAACTGTCTGTTTGAATAAGGAATTCCTCAAGCCCCTGGTTTTTATTATACTCATATGCATGAAGATAAAACAGAGAATCAGCAAAACTCTTCTTTTGGCTTGACATCAAAACCTTATAAATAATCATGCCTTTTAGGAAAACAGAGTCGACAGTTTAAATGTTATTACCAGGGCAGGAAATAATCAAGTTAAACAACTATTTAGAGTTACAATGTGTTTTAGAAAGTAACAGTTACTATTCACAGGACTTAGCATCAATCTCTGAAGTCGGGGTATTTTTAAAGACTCCTTTGTACAAAACAAAACAAACTGTTGTTTTAAAGAGAAAAAAAATACAGTATCATTACAGCAGCCTGTTGTTGACAGGAGAGTAAGATTGATAAGTCATTGATGTGTTTAGCTCCATGCCTCATTAGGTCAGATTCTTTGAACTTATTTTTTCATGGTGCGGAATGGTGTCTTCTCCCTTGCAGCTGCACACAGAGGGAGGACATCTCCTTCACAGCTAGCTGAGATGTTTTCTTTTTTTTTTTTAACCAGCAGTTGTTAATTAGGTGGGCATGAATCCTTAAAGCTAAGTTCTAGAACATTAATTATTTGCATCACAGGGGGGAAAAATCATGAAAAACAAAACCAGGAAAGTTTAAAACATACTATAAAGCCAAGGGAAGATGTAGAAGGAAATTTTTAAAGGCAATAGTGGAATATGGAACATGCAATGTTCTAGAATCAGGATGGTATTCCCTGTTCCATCTTGGTCCCCCTCCTGCCTGACTTTACGTAATCTCTGATTCTTACATCTTTTGCTCACAAGCCACAAATGAAATCACCCAGTCAGTGTGTCATGTAAATCAAGAAACAATACATGTTAACGAGTTCTTAAGGTAAAAACCCAGACTTGCTTAGAGACCCATAGTTCCTGAGCTAGATGGAGAACAAAGCTCCAAAACTCTGTGGTAATGTTAGGTATCTGGGCAACATGTCCAGTTCTGGAGCCAGCTAGGATCCAGACTCTCCTGGTTGCAGTCATCCCACCAAAATCCACATATTTGTGTTTCCATTATTGAGTAATGAAAGAGAAGAGGCACAGCATTATCAACTGAGAATAGAATAATGTCTCTTCATGAGCAGAGTGCTTTCTACTTTACAAGGCAATTTTCTAGGTATTACCTTTCAGTTTTGTGAGGATTCGTTAGGAAGAAAAGCACTAAGTTAGTGAATGAACCTAAGCAGACACTTTACCTTGTCCCATTTAGTTCTCATGATATCCCAAATGAAGAGGGATCATTTTTCTCACTTTACAGTCAAGGTAGAGAAGGCAGGTATGCCTCTCCTCATTTTATGTGAAAAGAGACTGGGGCTTAGTAATATAAGGAACATGCCTAAATTTCAACAACTATAAATAGGGGATGTAGGGTTTGAACCTAAAACTATGTGTCCGGGGCCTATGTTCATTGCTGTATAGTAGCCTGTGTCCACACCAGCCTGTTCCTGCATTAAACATCCATACTCAGCCTCAAGACCCTACAAAGTACCTCTGGGGCTGGGCTGGGAGTAAGGACAGGTCAGGGAGGGGAAAACCTGTTGACTCTGACTCTAACCAGTTCTCTCTCCTCTTCTCTGTAGTCAGCAGTCGGCTTTGATTATAAAGGAGAAGTGGAGAAGCACACATCTCAGAAAGGCAAGGAACTGTACTTCATTCAGCCTCAGCAGTCTGACTGGCAGGCTCTTCGGCTAAGACTTTATCTTCCAACAGTTGTCATCAGCTTTTTAAATTCCATGACCCAGCTCACCACTATATTTTTTACTTTTGTTTGTTTCTTTGTTTTTGAGACAGGGTCTTGTGCTGTTACCCAGGTGGGAGTGCAGTGGCACGATCACCGGTCACTGCAGCTTCGACTTCCTGGATTGAAGCAATCCTCCCACCTTAGCGTTCTGAGTAGCTATGACTACAGATGTGCACCACCATGCCTGGCTAATTTTTTTTTCTTTGTAGAGATGGAGTCTCACTATGTTGCCCAGGTGGCCTCATCTCAAGTGATCCTCCCCTCTTGCCCTTTCAAAGTGCTGGGACTACAGGCATGAGCCACCGCACCCAGCGCTATTTTATTTACTTTTTAATCCCAGTGTATACTTGTTTCTCTTTTCCTCCATTATTGCTTTCTACAATATTAAGTTTTTGAATCCCTCTTTTTCTTCTAATGGATTGAAAATAAGGTATTCTATTCCTTTATTTTAGAAAGTTATTCCTAAATTTTAACATGCATCTTTGACTTAAATTTAAAATTAATCACAATCTTGGCTGAGTGTGGTGGCTCACACCTGTAATTCCAGCACTTTAGGAGGCCAAGGTGGGCAGATCACCTGAGGTGGGGAGTTCAAGAACAGCCTGACCAACATGGAGAAACCATGTTTTAGAAACTACTAAAAATACAAAATTAGCTGGGCATGGTGGTGCATGCCTGTAATCCTAGCTACTTGGGAGGCTGAGGTAGGAGAATCACTTGAACCCTGGAGGAGGAGTTTGCAGTCAGCCGAGATTGCGCCATTGCACTCCAGCCTGGGCAATAAGAGTGGAATTTGATCTCAAAAAAAAAAAAAAAAAAAAATTAATCACAATCTCTTCCTGAGTATATAAGATACATAGAATATTTTAACTACATTTTTTTTTAACAAACCATATTGTTGGTGTTCAGTATATTGGTTCCATCTTATTCCATCTTATTATTGGTTCCATCTTATAAACCCCACAAAAATGAATCATTATTATTGCTTAGTAAGTGCTTATTTAAATTGACCAAGGTATTTACCTATTTTCTAGCTCAACATTGCTTATTGTATTTCTTTGTTTCATCTTTGCATCTTCTATTTTCTTCTTGCTAAAATATATCCATTAATAAGCCTTTTAATGAGTCTATGAAATGACTTTCAGTCTTTGAAAAATGTCTTTATTTCACATCATTCTTATTATTTTCTCGTCATCACTTTAAATATATTATTTCATTGTCTCTAAGATCTCTCTTGACAGACTATCATTCCTGTGTAAATAACATGTCTTATCTCTCTGGGTTTTTTTAATTAAAGGTTTTCTGTTGGTTTCTGATATTCTGCATTATTATTAGGGTGTGTCTAGGTGTTAAACCTATTTTTTATTATCCGATGTGGGATGTATTGCTCTTTTTCAACCTCAGATGTGACTTTCATTATATAAAGTTCTCAGGTATTTTCTCTTTGAATAATACCTCTTCTCTCTTCTCTTTATGTTCCTGTTCTGCATTCTGGGTAATTCCTTAAGATCTAGGTTAAGTTCATTAATTCTCCCTTTAGCTATATTCCATTATTGTTTAAGCTGTCCATTACATTTTAAACTTTCTTTCAAATCCCTTCCCTCTCCTTCCTTCCCCTCCCCTCCCCTTCTCTTCCTTTCCTTTCTCTCCTTCCTTCTACCTTGACCTCCTAAAGTGCTGGGATTACAGGCATGAGCCACCACATCAGATATTTTCATCTCTGGAAATTTCCTTTGGTTCTGTTGCACATCTGTTGATTCATTTTCCATAAGACATTACGGTTTCATTACAATTCCCTGCTCCATTCTTTAAGCTCTTTAATTATTTTAAATATGTACTTTATAGTTTCTTTCATATTTTATATTATTTGCAGTTTTTGACTGTGCCAGTTCTTCTAACTAATCTGCTTTTCCTCATGGTTATTTATTTCCTCAATGGTTTGTAATATTTGTTTATAAACTTATTTCAGTGAAGGAGAGTGATATTTGTTTTATGAGAATTTCATGTGCCCTGGTGTTTAGCAAGTACCTCATACAGGGAAATTTTGCCTCTACTTCTGGCTGAATTCTAGAGGTCTTAATAGTAATGAACATTTTTTTTTCCTTTATTATTATCTTTTCCCAGGAGTTCAAGTCTTTCTGTTTTTCAAGTTGGTATGGTATGTTGTGCTTTTCAAAGAATTTGTTCATTTTCTCTGTGTTGTGAGGTTTATTGGCATAAGTTCATTTATAATATTCTCTTATTTTCTTTTTAACTTCTGTAAGATATCTAGTGATGTGAAATGTCCATTTTCATTTCTGATCTTGTTTATTTGTGTTTTTTCTCTTTTTAATTATTCTTACTAGAAGTTCATCAATTTTATTTTCTTCCCAAAGAACAAGCTTTTGGCTTTGCTAATTTTCTCTGTTGTTTACCTGTTTTAAAAAATGTATGGTTTCTGCTCATATATTTATGTTTTTCTTCTACTTGGTGTTGATTTAGTTTTTTTCTTTGTCTAGCTTCTTAAGGCAGAAACTTAGATAATTGATTTTAAGCCTTCCTTTCTTTACTATATGGGCACTTAAAAAGCTATACATTTCCCTCTAAACACTACATTCATTTGCTACATACATTTGCTACATTCAACAAATATTATATATGTTTTAATTTTCATTCATCAAAAACCTGTGGTCCCAGCTATTCAGGGGGCTAATGTGAGAGGATCCTTGAGCCCAGGATGTTGAGGCTGCAGTGAGCCATGATTGTACCACTACATTTTGGCCTGGACAACAGAGTGAGACTCTGTCTCAAAAAACAAACAAACAAACAAACAAACAAACAAAAAAAACAGAAAACGAAAAACATTTATTCAGTTAAAATATTTTCTTATTTCTCTTGTAATTTCTTCTTTGACACATTTATTATTTAAAAGTTGTTACTAATTTTCTAAGCATCAGGGAAATTTTCTAGATAATTTTATTGGTATTGACTTCTAATTTAATGCTATTATGATCAGAATTTGATCTCTAATATTTCAGTCTTTTGAAATGTACTGAGACTTATTGTCTTAGAGACTTATGGACCAGCACACGGTTTATTTGGTCAATGTTCTATATGCATGAAAAAAGCACATTCTGTAGTTTAGAGTATAGTGTTGTAAGAGTCAATTATGTATTATTAGCTGATGTTTGAATCTTCTATAATTTTACTGATTCCTTTTTGCCTAAAATGCCTATCAAATAAGGAAAGAATGGTGTTAAAATTTTCAACTACTATTATAGATTTGTCTATTTCTTGTTCTACTTCTGTCAGCATTTGCATTGTTAGTGTGTGTGTGTGTGTGTGTGTGTGTCTGGTAGTGTCTCGCTATGTTTCCCAGGTTGGTCTCAAACTCCTGGGGTCAAGCCATCCTCCTGCTTCAGCCTTCTGAGTAGCTGGGACTACAGGCATTCACCACACATGGTTTTTAAAATTTTTCTTTTATTTAAGAGCTTCATGCATTTTGATTCTGTGAATAGGTTTATACCAGCATACACATTCCTGATGAATGGTATTGTTCTTTTATCATTGTATCATGTCTTTCTTGTCTCTTATAATGCATTTTGTCTTGAGATCACTTTGTCTCATATTCATGTCATCTTTCTTATGCTTACTCTTTCCACAATATATATTTTCCTGAATCAGCATTTAATTTCTCAGCTTAGAATTCCTGCATCACATAAGTGGTAAAAAAAAATTTGTGTGTGTGTGTGTATTTGCATTCTACACTCAGGTGTAGGCTTGGAATTTCCAAGTCTCATAAGCAAATTTTCCCCCTATCAAATGTTGAACAGGCTAAAAGCTCCCCTCACTATTTTCCTGGATAAATGAGTAGAATTTTTCTAGCACTCTCTTATAGGAGTGGAGACAGCTTCATTTCTGGTTTTCTTCCCTCCTCCCCCATTTTTATATGGAAATTAGAATCCCAGACCCTTGATTCTAATCCCTATTCATTACATTTGGAATTTAAAATCTGATCAGGTATGATAGTTCACACGTGTAATCGCAGCTCTTTGGGAGGTTGAGGTGAGTGGATCCTTTGAGACCAGGAGTTTAAGGCTAGCCTGGGCAACATAGACCCCATCATTACAGAATTTTTTAAAAAATTTTTTTGAGACAGAGTCTGCAACCTCCGCCTCCTGGGTTCAAGCGATTTTCCTGCCTCAGCCTCCCAAGTAGCTGGGATTACAGGCACCTGCCACCCTGCCCAGCTAATTTTTGTATTTTTTGTAGAGACGGCCACATTGGCCAGGCTGGTCTCAAACTACTGATCTGGTGATCCACCCGCCTTGGCCTCTGAAAATGTTGGAATGACAGGCATGAGCCATTGTGCTTGTCCCTCTCTTTCCTTCCTTCCTTCCTTTTTTCCTTCCTTCCTTCCTTCTTTCCTTCCTTCCTTCCTTCCTTCCTTCCTTCCTTCCTTCCTCCCTCCCTCCCTCCCTTTCTTTCTTCTTTCTTTCTTTTTTCTTTCTTTTCTTTCCTTCCTTCCTTCTTTCTTTCTTTTTCTTTCTCTCTTTTCCTTCCTTCCTTCCTTCCTTCCTTCCTCCCTTTCTTTCTTTTCTTTCCTTCCTTCCTTCTTTCTTTCTTTTTCTTTCTCTCTTTTTCTTCCTTCCCTCCTTCCTTCCTTCCTTCCTTCCTTCCTTCCTTCCTTCCTTCCTTCCTCCCTTCCTTTCTTTCTTCTTTCTTTCTTTTTTCTTTCTTTTCTTTCCTTCCTTCCTTCTTTCTTTCTTTTTCTTTCTCTCTTTTTCTTCCTTCCCTCCCTCCTTCCTTCCTTCCTTCCTTCCTTCCTTCCTTCCTTCCTTCCTTCCTTCCTTCTTTCCTTCCTTCCTTCCTTTCTCTCTCTCTCTCTTTCTTCTTCTTTCTTTCTTTCTTTCCTTTCTTTCTTTTTGACAGAGTCTCGCTCTGTTGCCCAGGGTGGAATGCAATGGTGTGATCTCAGCTCACTGCAACCTCCGCCTCCCGGGTTCAAGTGATTCTCCTGCCTCAGACCCCCAAGCAACTGGGTCTACAGGCACACACTACCACACCTGGATAGTTTTTGTATTGTTTAGTAGAGACAGGGTTTCACCATTTTGGCCATGTGGGTGTCCAACTCCTGACCTCAAGTGATCCTCCTGCCTCTGCTCCCAAAGTGCTGGAATTATAGGCGTGAGCATGGTGCCCAGCCTGAGCTTCACTCTTTAAAACAAAATTGTTATGTTTTATCTGACATTTCTATGTGCTTATATGGGAGTAGGGGAAAGGCATACATTTCATGTATCTGCCTTTTTTTTCTGGGACTCTCTTCACTCTCTATGCTTACCCCTTCTTGAAAATGGGAATGTTCTCATCTTGGGATGGAAATGAGAGAAGAGAGGGAAAAGGGAAGCAATATTCAATTAGAAGACTACTTAGCGCCAGGCACAGTGGCTCATGCCCGTAATCCCAGCACTTTGGGAAGCCAAGGCAGGTGGATCATGAGGTCAGGAGATCGAGACCATTCTGGCTAACACGGTGAAACCCCGTCTCTACTAAAAACACAAAAAATTAGCCGGGTGTGGTGGCATATGTCTGTAATCCCAGCTACTTGTAAAGCTGAGGCAGGAGAATCCTTTGAACTTGGCAAGTGGAGGTTGCAGTGAGTGGAGATCAAGCCACTGCACTCCAGCCTGGGTGACAGAGTGAGACTCCGTCTCAACAACAACAACAAAAAGACTACTGAGGACACGGTTTCTCTTTAATTCCTCTGAATTCAAGCCCTGCTCTTTTCCCAGGCCCCTAACACCCTGCACCCATTCCTGCTGGCCTCCCTTCTCCAGCGCTTCCCTTTGTGCTGGAGCCTAAGGGTGGGCTCTTATGACTGCTCCTTCTACCGTAGATTACTCTCATGGCTTTGGTGGCCGGTACGGGGTGGAGAAGGATAAACGTGACAAGGCAGCTCTGGGATATGACTACAAGGGAGAGACGGAGAAACATGAGTCCCAGCGAGGTGAGTTGGGGTTGGAATGGGGAATGTCACAGGTAGTACAGGGCTCTCCTTCCTTCCTTACTGGAAGCTCACCCAGGAGCCCCAGAATACAGAGGGGCCAGATGTCCAGAGCAGGGGGTGAGTGGACAGTAAGCGCATGTGTGGGTGGTGGTAGTGAGGGGAGAGAGGAAAACAGCAGGATTAAGAGCAGGGCCTATGCCGGCCAGGCATGGTGGCTCACACCTGTAATTCTAGCACTTTGGGAGGCCAAGGCAGGCGGATCACCTGAGATTGGGAGTTCGAGACTAACCTGACCAACATAATGAAACCCCATCTCTACTTAACATACAAAAATTAGCCAGGCGTGGTGGTTCATGCCTGTAATCCCAGCTACTTGGGAGGCTGAGGCAGGAGAATTGCTTGAACTCAGGAGGTGGAGGTTGCAGTGAGCCTAGATTGTGCCATTGCACTCCAGCCTGAGCAACAAGAGTGAAACTCTGTCTCCAAAAAAAAAAAAAAAAAAAAAAAAGGCTGAGCATGGTGGCTCGCGCCTGTAATCCCAGCACTTTGGGAGGCCGAGGTGGGTGGATCATGAGGTCAGGAGATCAAGACCATCCTGGCCAACATGGTGAAACCCTGTTTGTACTAAAAATACAAAAATTAGCCGGACGTGGTGGCACATGCCTGTAATCCCAGCTACTTGGGACGCTGAGACAGGAGAATCGCTTGAACTCAGGAGGCAGAGGTTGCGGTGAGCCGAGATCCTGCCATTGCACTCCAGCCTGAGCAACAAGAGCGAAACTCCATCTCAAAAAAAAAAAAAAAAGAGCAAGGCCTAGCGGGGAGGTGAGAGAGAAGGGAGCGTTGAGGAAGGGATGAGGACAGAAAGCTGGGTGATGGCCAGAGGATGCTTTGCCATGAATCTTAGAGGGTCCTCTGCTGTCATCACAGAGGATAAGGAGGTTTACTGCTTCCTTGGAACCCATAGGGATGGCTGGAGTGCTCTCTGTATTTTTTCCTATTTCTTTTACATTTTTCCTTAACTATTGCTTTCTGCTTTCCATGTTTCTCTATTTCCATCTTTCTTTTCTCCATTGTCTCCCAGATTTTTTCCCTATCTGTTTCCCTCTCTTCTCATCCATGTCTCCCTCTATCTTCTGACTCTCACATTTCCTCCTACGTCTCTGTTTTCCATATTCCTGTCTTTCTTCCCACTGATTCTTCTCCCCACGCATTCCCAGCATTTTGATTTCCTGTAACTCAGAACTTTCTATCCTGCAGATTATGCCAAGGGCTTTGGTGGCCAGTATGGAATCCAGAAGGACCGAGTGGATAAGGTAAAGCACCAGAACACCAATGTCTTAAGGAGAGTTCTCTAAGTGTAGGGAAGTGCGCAGAGAAGAGTGTGACGCAAGGCTGGGAGAAGGAGGGGATGGCAATGCTGGGTGCCCAAAGCCTATCCTGCTGGCATCCTGCACTTTGCACTGACTCAGCATCTATCGGGCATGTCTTCCAAAGCCTGAGCTTTGACTGAGGACAGTGGGAGAGGCATACAGAGACACAGATCAACTGCAGGGAAAGGTGGCGTGGGACTGGAAATTGTATTGAATTCTTGGCATTGCTTAACCCAATCTTAAGTCTCTTCCTACCCCATGCCACTGTCCTCCCTACACTAATTTCTCCTCATGCATTGGCCAGGGGCCCTGCTACATTCTAGGCAACTGGGCTTGGAGACATGAGATTCTAAGGTCACTGAGCTTTTGAAAGGGGAAGCTGAACCCAGCAGTTTAGAACTTCTTTACCTCCTTCTCTACCACAAAACAATACTGGAACATGCTGTCCAGCCTTTGAGCATCCAATGGTTAAGGATGCCTCCTACAGTGGCCCCAACCCCCAAGACCATCTCCAGGTCACCACTATCCCTGCCCCTCCCCCGCAACACACATGCTGTTCTCCTGCCTGCAGAGTGCTGTTGGCTTCAATGAAATGGAGGCCCCGACCACAGCTTATAAGAAGACGACACCCATAGAAGCCGGTGAGATTTTGTGATTCACTCTCGATGAACCTCACTACCTTCTCCCTCATTTGTTTTCCTCCCCAGACTATCTCTTCCATGCCTTTAACTACCTGGATTAGCTGAGGTAAACCTGATCCCTATCCTCATGTTCCCAAATTCTGTCTCTCCTAGAAAAGCCAGGTCAGGCAGGGCTCATGCCTGTAATTGCAGCACTTTGGGAGGCTAAGGTGGGAGGATTGCTTGAGCTCAGGAGTTTAGGAACAGCTTAGACAACATGGGGAAACCCTATCTCTATAAATAATACAAAAATTAGCCAGGTGTGGTGGTGCGTGCCTACAGTCCCAGCTACTTGGGAGGCTGAGGCAGGAGAATCACTTGAACTCAGGAGGCGGAGGTTTCAGTGAGCTGAGATCATGCCACTGCACTCCAGCCTGGGTGACAGAGTGAGACTCTGTCAGAAAGGAAGGAAGGAAAGAAGGAAAGAAGAAAGGAAGGAAGGGGGGAGGGAGGGAGGGAGGGAGAAAAGGAGGGAGGAAAGAGAAAATCCAAGTCAAGTAGATAGAGAGATAGAGTGACATGGGGAAAGGAATTGGAGGCAGAGAACAAAGTGTAGCATGGGGCGGGAGTGGGGCGGGGTGGGGGCATTGGTGGGGAACCACTTGGGAAGGACACATAGGAATAGGAGCTTCGGATGGGGTTGAGGATGAGTAGTGGCTCAAAGGCACACAGATTTATGGAATATAGACGAGGAGGATGCTGGTTGGAACCTCAACGTTTACAATTTAGAAACGACACAAGTAGGCTGGGCATGGTGGTTCACGCCTGTAATCCCAGCACTTTGGGAGGCTTAGGTAGGAGAATCATTTGAGCCCAGGAGTTCAAGACCAGGCTGGGCAACACAGCGAGATCCCCTCTTTATAAAAAATACAAAAATTAGCTGGGCTTGGTGGTGTGCAGCTGTGATCTCAACTACTCCAGAGGCTGAGGTAGGAGGATTGTCTTAGGTTACATAGCCTGGCTTTATAAAAATCCAGGCTTCAGGGCTATGTCATCTTCCTATAATCCCCTTGTTCCTCTATCAATACATTCCTCTCCCACAAGTCCCTCCTCCTAGATATTTAACTGATTCCCCTCTTCCTTCAAGTGTCGCCCCTTCCCCACCTTCCAATCCAAGACAACCCTAATTCTTCTTGCCTGTGGCCGCAGCTTCTAGTGGTGCCCGTGGGCTGAAGGCGAAATTTGAGTCCATGGCTGAGGAGAAGAGGAAGCGAGAGGAAGAGGAGAAGGCACAGCAGGTGGCCAGGAGGCAACAGGAGCGAAAGGCTGTGGCAAAGATGAGCCCTGAGGCTCCACAGCCAGTGGTAGCTATAGAGGAGCCAGTGGTACCGGCCCCACTGCCCAAGAAAATCTCCTCAGAGGTGAGCGCCTGGCCCTTCAGGATCCACATCCAATATCTCTTTCCCAGACAGGAGCCTAAGGAGTCCAAAATATTGGCAGAAAATAAGGCAAAGGCCTCCCCTGGGTTGGGCAGCGTCTGTTGTCTCTGACTTTAGAAGACTTCAGTCTCACTGTAATTGGGCCTCATATATCAGAATGTTAGAAAGAAAACTCCAAGATTTACATAGTACAACAGAAAGCAAGTCACCAGCCAGTATAGTCAATTATTGCTATAGGAACTAAGAGGAAGGGGCTGTCACTTCAGGTTGGAGCCCATCTTGAAGTTTGAATTGGCAGAGAGCAGGAGAGGGTGTTCCTTGTAAATGTAACAGTTAAGACATGCATGATATGGTGGGTCATGCTTGTAATCCTAGCACTCTGGGAGGCCAAGGTAAGAGGATCGCTTGAAGCCAGGAGTTCTAGACCAGCCTGGGCAACATAGTAAGACCCTATCCCTATATATATTTTAAAAAAACTAAAGATTAGCTGGGCATGGTGGTGCATACCTATAGTCCCAGCTACTTGGGAGGCTGAGAGAGGAGGATCATTTGAGCCCAGGAGTTTGAGGCTACAGTGAACTATGATCTCACCACTATGCTCCAGCTGGGGCAGCAGAGTGAGACCCTGTCTCAAAAAAATTAAAAATAAAAAGAATGAAGATGGATCAGGCATGGTGGCTCACACCTATAATCCCAGTACTTTGGGAGGAGGAGGCGGGTGGATCATGAGGTTAGGAGTTCAAGACTAGCCTGACCAACATGGTCAAACCCTGTCTCTACTAAAAATACAAAAAATAGCCATGCATAGTGGCATGTGCCTTAATCCCAGCTACTCTGGAGGTTGAGGCAGTAGAGTCGCTTGAACCTGGGAGGTGGAGGTTGCAGTGAGTCGAGATTGTGCCACTGCACTCCAGCTTGGGCGACAGAGCAAGATTCTGTCAAAAAAAAAAAAAAAAAAAGTGAAGATGGAGGTTTGCATAGTTGAGAGATGCTTCATTCTCCATAGGCCTGGCCTCCAGCTGGGACTCCTCCATCATCAGAGCCCGAGCCTGTGATAACCAGCAGGGAAAATCCAGTGCCCTTGCTGCCCGTGAAGCTGACTCTCCCGGAGGTAAGCAAACCCCTAAAGATTCTCTGCCCCCTACCCCATCTCTTCGAGTCTTAGGAAGGTGGGCTGTGCAGGGTGGCCAACCATCCTGGTTTACCTTGCACTGTTCTGGCGTTAGCACGTGAGTCCCTGCATTCTGGGAAACTCCCTTGTCCTGGACAAACTAGGACAGTAGGTTATCCTAACAGTGGTAGCTCAACAATGTGCTTTTGCTTCAGTGTTTCCTTGGTCTCCTAAATAATCTGACTTGCTTTCCACTTCCCTCCCCTCACACCTTTTACATTTTCTTCCCATTGTCTCTGGAATGTGTTTTGGGTGGTGGGTGTGGGAGGAGGTCGAGGAGTGAAGACGGGTGGTTGAAAGGCTGTGTCCTCTAGGAGGGGCTGTTAGGCAGAGGCAAGGGTGGAGGGGAGAAAAGGCAGGGTGGTGAAGGCAGGGGGGTGGATCTTAGCAGTCCTTCATTGAGTCCTCCTGGAGAGTAGAAGTCACACTGCTCCACATGTCTCTTCTCAGGACAACGAGGAGCCCCCTGCTCTGCCCCCTAGGACTCCGGAAGGCCTCCAGGTGGAAGAAGAGCCAGTGTATGAAGCAGAGCCTGAGCCTGAGAATGACTATGAGGATGTTGGGGATATGGACAGGCATGAGCAGGAGGATGAACCAGACGGGGACTATGAGGAGGTGCTTGAGCCTGAAGGATCTTTTTCCTCCGCTCCGGCTGGTGAGTGGTGGGAGGAGAAGCAGGAGAACTTGGTCATGTCCAGGGGAGGGTAAGAGGAAGAAGAATTTCTTTGTTGACCCAGCAGGAGCTTTCTCTGTTTGCCTTCTTCACGTTGATGAGACCATGTTTGTGTTTCTCATTATACAGGATCATCGGGCTACCCAGCTGGGGCTCTGGGGATCTCAGCTGTGGCCCTATATGATTACCAAGGAGGTAGGTTGGGAGTGGCCTGAGGACCCTGGTGCCTGGAGGACATGATACAAGACAGGGGGACATGGGGAAAGAGATTCATGTCTGACCATTCTAATATTCCCTCAACTTTCTCCCCAGAGGGAAGTGATGAGCTTTCCTTTGATCCAGATGATGTCATCACTGACATTGAGATGGTGGACGAGGGCTGGTGGCGGGGACGTTGCCATGGCCACTTTGGACTCTTCCCTGCAAATTATGTCAAGCTCCTGGAGTGACTGGAGCTAGCTGTCTGCTGCAACTGTGATTTCCCATGTCCAGAGTGGCTCTGCCTCCAGCCCTTCCCTATTCCTGCTGCAAATCTCTAACCAGATGAGGTCCTAGGCAGACTTCCCTCTCCCCCTTCATTAAGTGCTTGGGGCAGACAGCATGGGGAAGGAGGTCCCCTTCCCCAGAGTACTCTCTACCCTGGATGAACTCGTGGACATTTCTCTTGTGGTCGTGCCGCCTTCCGCATGAACACCTCTCTGCCACCCCAAGCTCTGCTCTCCTCCTCTGTGAGCTCTGGCTGCCCGGTTTTTTTACTTGGGAAAGTATATCTAGATTGTGTGGTTTGCCTGGTTGTGCTATTTGCCCACTTTCCGTCCCTGAAGAAATCTCTGAACCTTTTCTCTCTTCAGCCCTAAAATTCTAAATAAAGTGGGAGTGTGGTCACCTCTATGCTGAAGTAAATAGTACTTTTTGTGTGGCCCTCATGGCCCCAAACCTTAAGGCTCCAGCCTTTCCTCTTCCAGGCATATCCAGGAGACTTTCTCTTACCACTGCCGATTCTCCTGCACCCTAGATGTCAAGGGCTAGGCCTTTTCCGTCGGCTGAACTTTTTTTTGAAACGTAGTCTCGCTCTGTCACCCCAGCTGGAATGCAGTAGCACCATCTCAGCTCACTGCAGCCTCCACCTCCTGGGTTCAAGCAATTCTTGTGCCTCAGCCTCCTGAGTAGCTGGAACTGCAGGTGCTTGCTACCACGCCTGGGTAATTTTTGTATTTTTAGTAGAGATGGGGTTTTCCCACATTGGCCAGGCTGGTCTCAAACTCCTGACCTCGGGTGATAGCCCACCTTAGCCTTCCAAAGTGCTGGGATTACAGGCATAAACCACTGTGTCTGGCCTACTTAGGCTGCACTTGAAACTCAGTCCAAAACAGATCAGCCTGAGGAATGGCAGTAAGTGAGATAAGAGGGGCTGGGTAGTATCCTGGGTATGCCTATCAAGGCAGTTCAGCTTCTATTGGCTTCAGCAGTAGTGGAAGCCCAGCCACCTTCTACCTGGGGGTGATGACCACACTCTTTTAGGGATGTAATGACCACTCTGGAGGGAGACATATGAATTAGGGGATAGGAAAAAGAAAAAGGGAGGTTTGGCCAATAGAAAAGAGTAAAGGTAAAGGAAAATAAACTTAGGTGAGGTTTAATAGGATTTGGAGCCAGAGACAATGACCCATGCTCAAGAAAGTTCAGGCTTCCTTGTAGCTGAATAATTGAAATCAATGGCCAGGAAAGAGTGGACAGAGAATGCACACAAGCTTCTGAGGGGTCTAGGCCTGAGGCCGACAGGAAAAGAGGTGAGGACATGTGGACAGCCAGTAGTGGGCAAAAAGTGAAGCACCAAGCACAATATGGGGATGAGGGAGAATGCCAGTGCATTTAGCCCAGCCCCAGGCTATTGTGGGTACAGCCTCAACAAGGTCAGACATAAGAGGTCCTAGACAAATATCAAAATAAAAGTCAGAGCTTTGGTGTAGATCTCTGGTTAGTAGGACACAGAGGACTGTGCTGTTACTGGCATCGAAGCTGGGTCTAGCTTTCAAAGATGGAGAAGGTGGCCAGGCATGGTGGCTTACGCCTGTAATTCCAGCACTTTGGGAGGCCAAGGCAGGTGGATCTCTTGAGCCCAAGAGTTCTAGTCTAGCCTGGCAACATGATGGAACTTTGTCTCTACAAAAAATTAGCTGGGCATGGAGGTATGGCCCTACAGTCCCAGCTACTCAGTAGTCGGAGGTGGGAGAATCACCCGAGCCTGGGAAGTAAAAGTCAAGCCTTCAGTCAGCTGTGATCGCACCACTGCACTCCAGCCTGGGTGACAGAGTGAGACCTTGTCTCAAAAAACAAAAGATGGAGAAGGCATTGGGATCAAGGAGGAGCTAGGATGAGTTGCTAAGACCCATAGTTAGTTGCTCCAGGACTTCATAGAGTTGGTGAACTGCCCAGCAGGAATGTCCAAGGCAGAGAATACAGCCATGGGTTCATAGTTTCTGTTTTTGGTTGGGTCAGTAAAGCCCCTTCCTCATCCCTCTTTTCTGCTTATCCCCTTTTTTCTAGAGACAGAAACTGAAAACCATGGCTTCAGGCAGCTAAAAGTCTAAAACAAAACAAAACAGGACAATAACACAATAAGGCGGGCTGGACAAGCTTGGCACTGTGCCTCAGGCTTGTGCTCTGGTCTTTCTTCATGATACACACTTGATTTCAATGACAACTTCTATGCCTGTGAATCACACATCTATCTCTAGGCCGGACTCACAAGAGTCACCCAGTTAGCCTTACAGAGTGCAAAGCAGCTTTTATTTCCTCTTCTAGAGACATTGAGATTTCTAGTATACAGAGGTCAATCACCACAGATATACTCAATCTCATTCTTCATTTCAGTTTAATTTGACATCACACATAAATCAGACTTTTATAGTGATTTTCACGACACATCTTCAAGTTCCACCTTGCTTTTCACTTTTCCTTTTGTTGTAAAACAGAAACTTCTTTTCCAGACCCTTATGCTATTAAGGCAGCAAGGTCCTCTCTGGCCCAGTGCTACAGACCTCAGTCTCCATATTCCGCTGATCTCTACTGTGGACTGCCTTTCTTGGCAATGATACCCACCAAGGGCTCTGCCCATAGACATCTCCCCTCCCTGTATACACAGCCCCTCTTTGCTCCCCTCAGCTGCTTCTAAATCTGAAGCCACATCTAGCTGTCTTGTCTATCAGATAACACTCACGGTTCATGCTGTTCATTCCAGCTTCCTCTCACAAATCATTTCTATCTAATTCATAGTCACCTGAAGGGTTTTGGTGCCACTGCCCTCTCACTAGGAAGTGTCCTTATCTTATTGAAGCTCGTGCTTCAATACAGCTTTGAAGACAGCAACTGGAGGGGGAGAGTACGGCTGGAAGTGTGCAACTTACAAAGCAGTTGTGGGCAGTGCCACTCTCCTGAACCGAGGCTGCCCCCACCCACCTGATTTGGGAAGAGAAAGCGCTCTGCCCTCTTCCTTTCTGTATGTAGCACCTTGTTTCTCTTCCATTCATCCATAGCCCCTGATTTTCATCTCCACTGTTCCATAGTTTCCCTTTCTTTTTCTATTAAAATCACAAACCCAGAGTGGATTTTAGGAGCCTTTTTCCTCGGAACTGCCACCTGGACAACTCTCTTCCTTCCTTCCCACTGCAGTGTTAGGTTGTTTCCAGTTACTTATCTTCATGGAATAAAACCTTAGGTCATACCCTCGTCATATTGTTAGAAAATGGTGCCTTATATACAAATAAGAAATATAAAACAAAGGATGGGATTAGGAAAAATAGAGTGACATTATCAAATAGTACCAAGTGGCACATTACAATGAAAAGATGAGCATGTTTCTGGTCTGGGACTTGCTCTACTGCCTTCTCGACTCTTTTTGGAGGTGTTACCTACTTCATCTACACCAGCTCTGATCCATGTTTAGAGAGAACCCACGCAATAACAAGCACCCAGATTTACTAGACTTCTTTTATTGGCGAAATTCTTTATTCTCTGCTTCCCTACAATGCCTGTCCTTTTCCTTTCCTATTTCTCACTTGCCTGAGAAATTGCTAGGACTGCAGGGAAAATGACACCAATTACAGTGAGAGGGATATAAACACAGGGCCAATAACTCTACTTTCCAAGCTTCAGGTATAACCAAAGAGAGCTGAAAGGATACATTCTTGCATGTGGCTGAGGACATGAAGCCATACCAAACAAATCATCATCTCCATCTGGTTCCCAACTTAAAATCACTACGTGTCTAAAATAAATATTTCAATTTCGTAAAGAGCTGCATGAAATCATAACTACTGTGGATAGCTAAGGGAGATAAGATTTTGCTGTTCTAAAAAATAAGTATATCCTAACTTATTGTCACTAGTATGACATCCTTTAGGGATTTTCAACCAGGAGCCAATTTCCTCCCCGACATTCAGCAATGTGTGGTGACATTTTTGGTTGTCGCCTCTGTGCTGGTGCTACTGGCATTTCATGGATAGGCCAAGGATGCTGGCCGGTGTCCTGTAGTGCACAGAACAGTCCCTTAAAACAAATAATTATCCAGTTCAAAATGTCAATAGTTCTAAGGCTAAGAAGCCCTGTTTTGGGGGATGCCAGTTTCTATTGTGTCTTTTTATCTTTTACTTTTGTTCTTATGAATATTCACTGTTTGATACCAAAAACAGCAGTATCATCCATTTTTGTCAGACTGAATGCATGGCCAGCAATATGGACGGGTAGTAGTAATTTCAGGGAGCCACTATATTCACATGTCTTTGTCTCCAAGACCCCAGTAGCTACCCAAGTGGGGTCTAGGAGCTGGTGACTGGTGCCATAGGAACTACAGTGGGCCTTGGCTGCACTTTGCCAAAGGCATGGTCTCCCTGGGCTACCCTGTGCATTCTGGCATGACACCGAGGTTGGCGTTAGTGTATTGAGGTCATTTCAGATAGCACAGGGTGCCCAGGGGCCATGCCTATGTTCTGCCTAACTCAGACGTAGAACATAATTTTCAGAAGAAAAAAAATATTGACTCCTAAGTCATCATTAAGATGTTACAAAGTAGGCTTGTGGCTTTTTGTCCTAAGGTTCTCCATAAATGTGGTGTCTCCTTTGGACGCCCCATTTCTCAAGGCTTTCCTGCTGTATGTTGCCAAGATTCTAACAACAGATTCTGTGACCTCATTTCTGCCTCTCATGTTTTGGCCTGCGGTGTCTTTGAGGCTGCCATGCTCAGCCAGGGGCTCTGTTATGTCAGGCTGTGCCTCTCTGGCTTAGAGGCAGTAGGATGACTAAAACGAGCCCCAGACTTGACTGTCAAAATAGACACAGCTCCAGAGCCTTCAAGCTGTGCTACCTTCACTCTGTGTTCTCTGGGGAGTAACTCTCTGCACCTTAGTCCCATCCTGCATTTACTGTCCCACAAATTTGAAAGTGCTTTGTAAGCAAAAAAGTTCATGTAAAAGCACAGGCCTGTACTGGTTATGGAATTTTGTGGCTCTCTCATCTCTTAAGAAATTGGGTCCATCTTCCAAATGGCCTCAAATTACTTACTTTCTTCTCAGACCAATCTATTTTAGAAAGAAAGAAAAAAAAAAAAAGGAAACAAATCATCAGTATGGCACTATGGTATAGGCCATGTCTTAGGGAATTCTTAGGCCTCGTGTTGAGGTTTTGAAGGACACTGCATGTTCCAATACACCCTGATAAGCAAATAGACAGTTTACAGAAGGGAGTTCTCAAAACCACACTCTGTCCTACTTCAGGACCTCTGAGAAGAAATCCAAGAATGGTGCATTGGGTGACATCTGAATTTTTAGGAGACGTATCTTCCTCGTGGTCTGATTCTGAAGGTGGAGACTAAGCTCTCTCGGGCCTGCTCACGTGGCTCACACATGCTGGTCAAAAGAATTGGGTCAGTTTTGTGCTCTACAATGTTGAAAGGACAAGACTTCAGGTGCTCAGACATGGAGGTGACTTCATTAAACTCCCAGCTCTTGATTTTGGAGAAAAGGCTGCTGAACTGCCAGATCTGTTGAGAAAGATAGAAGTTCAAAGGTGAATATAGGGGCATTACCCTTCAGCTAGCTTTATTTGGGCCCTATAAGGAAATACCCTTCTGTTCTTCCTATTCTTAGACTCCAGAGTGTTTAGTGACTCCCGCAGACACTTGGTAGCTCCTTCTGCAGCATTCAATTCCTAGTTCCCCTTTCCAACCAATAATCTTCCCAATCAGCCCTGTAGTTGTGAGAATGGCTGACACCAAGCAGCATATTGACCACACACACTCCCCTGCTCCTCTACCAGCAAGTGATTAATTTTAGAGTAGATGCACAGTTCAAATCAGGACAATTAGTACCAATGCAACTCTTATTTCAGAACTTTTGTCGAAGATATCAGAAAGCAGGTTCTCTTTTTCCTTCTGTACTTGAACTGGGAAGCTGAAGTCCTAGGAGCTACCAGCAATCACCAGGAACCACTGAGGGAGAACTATCTTACAATGTAGCCATTACAGAGGAAGTAGAGGTAAGAAACGGAAAGAAAAAAATGTCATTTGGGGGCAGTTTTTGAGCTGTTAGATCAAGCCTTACCTGAAGTCATTACCTTTGAACTTTTTAGTTACATAGGCCAATAAATTCCCTTTATTGTTCATGCCACTTTAGGTTGATTTTCTATTGCTTGAAATTAAAGTATCCTAACTCATAAGAGTCTCACTAGAATGGGAGCCCCATAGGAGACTTCTATAATTTCTAAAATATCCTCTGGTCTTTCCCCCTGGGATGTGATGGCAAAGTTTTTCAAGTCTGGCTATGTGAGTAGGCATAACCTAATACTCTTTCAGCCTGACTACTTCACCTACAGTTTCTTGTCACTGTTCCTATGTAGGAAAAGTGGGTTTTTTTTGAGCTCTTAGAACTATTTCCCTTTTTACTTTAAAAATCCATTCTAGGAGGGGCACAATGGCTCACACCTGTAATTCCAGCATTTGGGAGGCCAAGGTAGGCAGATCTCGAGGTCAGGAGTTCAAGACCAGCCTGGCCAACGTGGTGAAACCCCATCTTTACTAAAAATACAAAAAATTAGCTAGGCATGGTGGCAGATGCCTGTAATCCCAGCTACTTGGGAGGCTGAGGCAGGAGAATTGCTGGAACCCAGGAGGCGGAGGTTGCAGTCAGCTGAACTCGAGCCACTGCACTCCAGCCTGGGCAACAGAGTGACGCTCAATCTAAAAAACAAAAACCAAAACCATAAAACAACAAAAACAAAACCCATTCTAATGTGAGTATACTTTAGCCCCAACTAATTTTCTTTATTTCTTTCTCCAAGGAAATTAGCTTGTCCCAAAAAATATCTGAGAGTGGTCAACCATCATTGAATTGGAGACAAACTGGAGCCAAAAATTAATGCAATTTCTAGTCTCTAAATTATTTACATCTGATTTTAGGTGGTTTTAGACAATACTATTCATGAAGGCAGTGTGTCAGTCTGCAATCATATTTCTTCCTGATATGTGCTTGGTTGGCAATGTTTATTTAACACTTAAATACAGGCACATATACAAGAGGGAGAGTCTTGTAATAACTTTTTGAGGAAGACTGCTCAGGAATAAATAATGGAAAACATACCAAACGTTTTAGACATAATCAATAAAAGTAGATGTAAACAACTACAACTCCCCAATGCCAACTTGCAAACACCACATATTAGGAAGAAATTCAACGGTGAGATTATGGAATTATTGGCCTAAATGGGCATCATAAATTGATGGTTCATATTACCAACATGCTTAACATGAGAAAGGATGCTACAAGCACTGGAATATAATGAATTAGGAGCCTCACTTCAGCATGGTACAAGCTGGTAGAAGTTACAATATAGTTAAACAAACATGACCCATTGGGGAAAAGGAACAAGGTATTTCTGAAGGGAAAGGTTCTTTGATTTATACAACAGAGTGTTTTTTGAACAATTAAATTAGCATTTGAATCATGGGAAATCAGTGGGCCAATTCATTTATAATTTCAAAATGCCTTTATCAAAGGCAAAACTGTTTTAAAAAATTAGTTGATGTGGGATTGAGGAGATTGGTTGGCCTCCTGTATCAATCAAACTCAGCGCAGGGAACAGGTGGCACACTCAGACTGGGAAATCTGAAGAGGATTTTTTTTAAAAGGAATGATTTACAGACACAAGAGCAGGGCATAGGAAAGCCACAAGATACAGTGCAGTACACAGGATGAATAGCAACTTAGAGAGTTATGCCTTGGTCCTGAAGGAGAAGAAGGGAGGTTGTTGGATCCCAGAGTGAGTAATTTTGTATAGAGACCCACCTGATAAAGCCACCTTCAGTGGAGGGACAGTGCCTGCTCAAAGTGTCATGAAGGAGAGAAAGCATGCAGGGGGGAAGCCAGGAGAATAGATACTTCAACCTCATTCTTCCCTCCCTCCCATTTCCTGCTTACACATTCCATTTAGGTTAGCCCCACTGGAAGCTGGAAGGCAAGGGAGCCAGCTGAGGCAATCTGTACAGGTCATCCTCCCAGGGGACAGACAGGGTGGAGAAGAATGGAGAATGGATGTTGTGAGCAAACAGAAGATGTTCAGCACGCATATACAGATGAACAGGCTCTATCCTCTGCATTGCTATTTACGTGTTTATAACTCTGTCTTTTCTACTAGACTGACCTCCTTGAGTCAGTCTTATTCTCAGCAATTGTACCAGTGCCTAGTACTGTGCTTGGCACATAAAAAGCTCCTTAAGGCTGGGCCCAGTGGCTCATGAGTGTAATCCCAGCACTTTGGGAGGACAGGGCAGGAGGATCACCTGAGGTCGGGAGTTTGAGACCAGCCTGACCAACGTGGAGAAACCCTGTCTCTATTAAAAATACAGGATTAGCCTGGCATGGTGGCGCATGCCTGTAATCCCAGTTACTCGGGAAGCTGAGGCAGGATAATCGCTTGAACCCAGGAGGTGGAGGTTGCAGTGAGCTGAGATCATGCCATTGCACTCCAGCCTCGGCAACAAGAGTGAAACCCTGTCTCAAAACAAACAAACAAACAAACAACTCATGAAAAATATTTGTTACACCCAGGTGCAGTGGCTCACACATGTAATTTCAGCACTTTGGGAGGCCAAAATGGGAAGATCACTTGAGGTCAGGAGTTGAGTAGTTCAAAACCAGCCTGCACAATACAGTGAGACCCCATCTCAATTTAAAAATTAGTCAGATGTGGCTGGGCATGGTGGCTCACACCTGTAATCCCAGCACTTTGGGACGCCAAGGCGAGAGGATCACCTGAGGTCAGGAATTCGAGACCAGCCTGGCCAACATGGTGAGACCCCATCTCTACTAAATATACAAAAAATTAGCTGGTTGTGGTGGCATGCCCCTGTAATCCCAGCTACTCAGGAGTCTGAAGTGAGAGAATTGCTTGTACCCAGGAGGTTGAGGTAGCAGTGAGCTGAGATAGCGCTGCTGCATTCCAGCCTGGGCGACAGAGCGAGACTTCATCTCAAAACTATAAATAAATAAATATTAGTTAGATGTGGTGATGCACATCTGTAGTCCCAGCTACTTGGAAGACTGAGGCAAGAGGATCACTTGAGCCCAGAAGTTTGAGGCTGTAGTAAGCTACGATTGAGCCACTGCACTTTTGCCTGGCAACAGAGAGAGAATCTGTCTCTAAAAAATGAAACAAAAAATTGTTGAATGAACCAATTACTACATAAATGAGTGTTTACTCACTTCTCTGTGGACTCTCCAGGAGAAGCCTCCATGGGAACACCTCTTCTTCTTCCATTGCAAGAGGACCATCCCTCTCTCTTGTAACAAAGTGGCACAGATATTCCTCATCAGCACAGACACCTGGGAGAGCTGGGCCAGGCTGACGCTGTCCAAGAACCCAGCAATGTACTGCAAAATCTCCAGGGGCAGGCTGGTTAGAGAATTCTGACTTTTTCCTCCATGGCCCAAAAGATGGTTGTTCTTCCTTCCCTCACTCAGCTCTGGAGCAACCTCTGGCTTAATGGCAAAGGTCTTGAGCTCCTGACTATAGATTACTTTTGCCTTTTGCCCTGGGGGACGGAAATGGTTTTGAACAAATGTACACCCCAAGTAGGCAAGAGGGCATCGATGCTGGAACCAGCCATTGAGACACGACTGAATGTCTGTGTGGACATTCTTGAAGTGCAGGGGGAACTCATCCCTCCTGAAGAATTTGTTGCAAGTGAAAGTGAAGGCAGAGCTGCTTTTGTTGTGCCTCCTGGTCACACACTCACTGTGGAGCTCCACGTGGAGTCCCCCTGGGGTGGCAGGGGCTAGGTCAGCCAGCACTGTCCCAGAGGAAAACTGTTCTGGCTCAAAGTTGTATGTTTGTGTGGCAAAATCCATGAATAGTCCGTCAATGCTTCTGGATTCAGAGATGACGTGGCCTTTGAGTTCTCTTTCCAAAGCACACTGGAGGGTGGTCTTGATGAGATCTGATTTGGGCAGATCCTCCACAGTGATCCCCAGATCTGAAGTATCCACTGCCTTGTGTTCACTGGGCTTACAACTCAACATGGCATCTCCAAGTCGAGCTCGCTTTCCACAGTAGCTCACAGGAACTTTGAAGGTGTACACAGTCTTAACTTCCTGAGCCTCAAGCTTGCCATAAACAAAGTCTCTCTCCTTAGGTGTACAAGCAGGCATCTGACCGAAGTGAATCAGCATCCGCCCGTTGTGCACTAGATACATGTTATAGTCCTTTGCATCCACAGCTGTTTTCAGTCTTTCCAGAACACCATCCTGCCAAGGGGCAAGCCCCATGGTTTCCACGGTTTTATGAATGTCCTGCTGCTTCTGATTCTCCTGTGGTTCTTTCTTTTTGGGAACGCCCTCTTCTTCTACCATGCTATTGCCACTGGAAATCTGTTCTTTCTCTGGGCCGTTCTTGTTCTTGTTCTCACAGCTCACTGATGAATTTGTTAAAGCAGAGGCTGCATGCTCCTTACTGAAAATATTTTCCCACTGGCCAAACTTGTCCAGGTCCATCCCTTCTTTGGTTTTGGCTAGCATCTCCCGTTCTTCTTGACTTAGCTCTGCCATCTCCTCATTTGTTGCTGACAAATCATGTGGTACCAAACTGACATCCAATCCACCCACTGCTCCTCCCATGTCCTCCACACTGGTTTCACCATTCATAGTTGGCTCCTCCTCAGTGGCCTCTCTAGTTTCTGGGAAAAGTTCCACCATTTTCAAGGATCTGAAGAGGACCTTCTGGTCCTGCAGGGCCAGGGCTGTGTCCAAACACTCCTCATTGGGGTTTTCTTTCATAATGTTCTCATGAAGGGTGGTTTCAGAGTCCACGTTTGGCCAGCGGTTCCACTCCATAGAGCAGCAGACCACACTGGCGGGGCACACCTGCAGGTGCTTGGCCAGCTTGTGGCGGGACATGGACAGGGGACAGCCATATTTGGAGTTGAGGCAGGGAACCTGCTCTAATGGACAGAGGAGCTGGTGCTCTGCCTCTTTGCACATGTGGAAGGTGGCACCACAGAGCAAGTGGCAGCTTATTACCAGGCAGGAGATGTTGGGTTCCACAGGAACGTAGCAGTGACGGTTGAAGCACCCCTCGCAATGCCTGTGCTGCCCTGGTGAGGGCCTGCGTGCTTTCCCCTGGAGACACCAAGGACAGGGGAAAGAAAACAAATGGATACTGAGGAGAAGCTCTATGCATATCTGTGACTGTGTTTTAATTGACATATTTCCTGTTTATACCTGCTTTTTACAGAAACCTTGAAATGTGTAAAAAATCACAATCCCGCAATCCAGAAATAACAACTATAATTACTTTTTACTATAGTTTATTGTATATTTGGAGTAGATGTGTTTAGAATAGGAAAAAAAGAACTGAATATAGTGGACTACATTGTTAACAATGGTTATTTTTGAGTTGTGGATTACAGGTGATATATATCATACAGATAACACTATGAATACGACTTCTCATCCTGCTTTTTGAGACTAGATTGTTTTATTAGTTATTCTTTGCAAACTTTTTTTTTATAATGGCAGTGTAACATTCTGGAATATGGGTGTGCTATCATTTAATCAGCTACCACCAGAAGGCGGGCTGGGAGGACAGCGGCCATGTCTGGTTTTGCACGCATCAAAGTCCCAAGCATCTGGCATGGGGCCTGGACATTTGTGAGTACTCAGTGCTTGCTGAATGAAGGAACTGTTAACCATTTAGACTATTACTGGCTTTTTGACTATTTTATTTAAATTTTCACTAAAATTCTTTGCTCAAAAATCCTTCTCAACTCTGTTTTCCCCTTACTCTGCGTCAGTTTCTTCCACGTTCTGTTCAGCATCTCTGGTTTGGAAAAAAGCTGATAAATATTATACAAACCATAAGAACAAGTCTGCTAGCTGCTTGGGCTACAGGCTAAATGAAAAAAGACCTGGACCTCTCAATGTGAAGCTCTAATAAGCTCCTGGTGCTTACCATGGCGCCCCAATTTCTTCTTGCTTCTTAGCTCTAGGGGAAAATATGAATATAAATGATTAGTAAGAAAAGCAGTTAAGTTATCTATATTAACAGGGGCTAAAGAGACTTCACACACTGTCTCATTTAATTCCTTCCACCATCCTGGAGGTGCCTTTTTCCCCCATTTTTGAGACAAGGAAACAGAAGCTTGAAGAAGGTAAGTAACTTGTCCAAGGTCACACAGCTGCTAAGTGATGGAATCGGCTTTGCAATCCAGGCCATGCTGGCCCATGCTATTTTCACTGACCCCCCACTGCCCTCTGATGGGGCATATTACCAACCATGGGATGTGTAACTTCTGCTTCCTGTAACTTTTCTCCATTGTCTGCTGACAATTATCCTGGCATTCTAAACACTCTTCTACCCACAGTCTGGCATAGGTTACCTTCTAATCTTCTCTTCCACTGGGGCTTCCTGTCCACTTAGAGGTCAGCCTGACATCTCTCTTGGTCTGGGGCAGTGTATAGGCGTCTGTGAAATATCTGTAACATGCCATTCCCCTTGGCATATTCAGCTGTGCTGTGGCTAGAGCAGAGGTCACAACCCAAAGGTCCCAGAGGTCGATTGAGTGGAAAGCCTGGCAAGTGAAAGAGAAAATGCCCTGCCTTCAGGGAAATGAAATTTCTCAGCTAGCTCTGGTTAATTGATGCCATATGGGAATGTGTTGCCAGACCTGGTTTTTCCAGAAACAGTAGGGATGAGGACTTTTGTGAGTGGTGATATGGTTTAGTGGTTGGAAGGCAGACTGGACAGGTTTCAACCCTGGCGCTATGAGTCAGTGGCTCTGAGACTTTGGGAATGTTACTTCACCTCTTTGCTCATCAGTTTCCGCATTTGTAGAGAGAAGATAATAATAGCACTTATCCCATAGTGCTGTTGTGAGGAGTAAATGAGCTAAATATACATGAAACTCTTAGAACAGTGCTTGTCTCATAAGGAGTGATCTATACGTTTGCTATTATAAAGTAGTATTTTACATTTCATCATAATGCAAAATATTTTGCTATATAATACATCATAATGCAAAAGATTTTACTACATAATATATCAAAATAAAAATACTCTGAATTTTAAATGTTAGCAACTAACTTAATTTAAAACGACACTCTATTTGTGCCAAGGAAAGCATTAATGCTGGCCAAATAGGATCTGTAGGTTGCCAGTTTGCAATTATCTGGTCTAGAGAATTTGTAACATAATTTCAGCACTGTGTTAGTCTGTGAAGGAGTGGGGAGGTTAGCATCCAAATGTCAGAAGATCCAGATCCATAAGTTTAAAATTTGGCCAGGTGCAATGACTCACACCTGTATTCCTAGCACTTTGGGAGGCTGAGGTGGGTTGATTGTTTGAGCCCGGGAGTTCAAGACCAGTCTGAGCAACATAGTGAGACCCTATCTCTACTAAAAAAAAGTTAAAAAATTAGCTGGACATGGTGGTGCATGCCTGTGGTCCCAGCTACTTAAGAGTGATGCTGGCCGGGTGTGGTGTCTCATGCCTGTAATCCAAGCACTTTGGAGGCCAAGACGGGTGGATCACCTGAGGTCGGGAGTTCAAGACCAGCCTGACCAACATGGTGAAACCCTGTCTTAAAAAAAATAATAGGCCGGGCGCGGAGGCTCACGCCTGTAATCCCAGCACTTTGGGAGGCCGAGGCAGGTGGATCACAAGGTCAAGAGATCGAGACCATCCTGGTCAACATGGGGAAACCTCGTCTCTACTAAAAATACAAAAAATTAGCTAGGCATGGTGGCGCGTGCCTGTAATCCCAGCTACTCAGGAGGCTGAGGCGGGAGAATTGCCTGAACCCAGGAGGCGGAGGTTGCAGTGAGCTGAGATCACAACACTGCACTCTAGCCTGGGAGACAAAGTGAGACCCTGTCTAAAAAACTGCAATAATATTAATAATAATAAAATAAACAATAAAAAAGAGTGATGCTGAGGTGAGAGGATCAGGAGGTCAAGGCTGCAGTGAACCGTAATGGCACCACTGCACTCCAGTGTGGGTTCTTGAGAGAGTAAGACCCTGTCTAAAAAAAAAAATTTTTTTTTTACGTTACATTAGAATTTGCCAATTCATTGTGAATAAAATTTCCCCCAACTTTAAAAAAAAATTTTAAATATTGTTTTTTACTTCCAAAGACAAATCATCAAAAATATAAAATAATAAAAGAAAAAACATTTCAAATATACAAAAAAGGTGAAGGAATATATACAATGAACACCAAAATATACTTAGCTAGATGCAATGATTGATTGCTAACATTTTGCCATTTTTGTGTCCTCTCTTTCTCTCCTCTCTGTCTCTCTCTATCTCCCCCCATCCCTGCCCACCCACCACACACACACAGTTTTGGCTGAGCCACTTGAAAATAAGTTGTTGATGTAAGATGCTTTATCCCTAAGTACTTCAGCTTGTATTTCCTAAGAATAAAGCCTTATAATAACATTGTCTTACCTAAGAAAACTAAAAATTCTTTTCTAATATAAAAAATGCCAATAGTCACATTTCTCCAGTTGTACTCAAAATATCTATTATAGTTATTTTTAATATTTTTGTTTATTCAACATTTTATTGATATATAATAGTTGTACATATTTGGGAGTACATGTAATATTTTGATGCCTGTATACAATGTGGAATGATCGAATCAGGGTAATTGGGATATCCATCACCTAAAACACTTTTCTTTGTGTTGGGAACATTATAATTCTTCTCTTTTAGCTTTTTTTTTTGAGACAGAGCCTCACTCTTGTTGCCCAGCCTGGAGTGCAATAGCACATCACAGCCCACTGAAACCTTCATCTCCTGGGTTCAAGCGATTCTCCTGCCTCAGCCTCCCAAGTAGCTGGGATTACAGGTGCTTGCTACCATGCCCAACTAATTTTTTTGTATTTTTAATAGAGATGGGGTTTCACCATGTTGGCTAGGATGGTCTCGATCTCTTGACCTTGTGATCCACCTGCCTTGGCCTCCCAAAATGCTGGGATTACAGGCATGAGCCACCATGCCTGGCCCAAAATTTTTTAACTGTTACATAATATTTGTACATATTTATGGTGTACATGTGATATTTTGTTACATGCTACTGAGTGTGAAAGAGGAATAACGGTAGAGTGCTCTATGCTCCTAATAGCCCTAGTCAGGGTGCAGGTGAGAAGTCCCAAGCAGGAGCATCAAACAGGGTTAGGACCCAGCAGAAGATAAACAAAGCTGTTAAAGACAGAGAAAGAGAGGAACAGAGTAGGGTGGCTGAGAGGGTTGGACTGTGCTATGGTCTGAATGTTTGTGTCCCCCCCCAAATTAGAATGTGGAAATCTAATTCCCAGTGTGAGGGTGTCTGGTCATGGGGCCTTCAAGAGGTGATTATGTTCAAGAAAGTCCTGCTTACCAGGCCTCTTGTTTAATAAGACGTGACCAGAGTGACTCCATCTTAAAGTGAATAGTGAGGCACTCACAAGACACCTGTAAGGTTAATGCTTATGGTCTGAAAATAGCCACATCCCAAGCTGACCATCACTTATAATTACAGAATATTTATGGCCAGACAAAACATCTCACACCAAGCCTACAGAACTTCCAGATGTCCTGAGAGTGCAACCCTTTTTACTTACTTAGAGATAATGTTAATGAGCAAGCTGTGGTTAAAAATTTAAAAGATTGATGGTTACTGATAACACTGACAGCCACTGCCTTTAGTGAGCACATCCGCACATTTCAAGTTTAATTTAGCTCCTTATGGTATTTTTTTTCTGTTTTGGAGACAGTCTCATTCTGTTGCTCTGTTGCCCAGGCTGGAATGCAGTGGCGCCATCTCAGCTCACTGCAACCTCCGCCTCCCAGGTTCAAATGATTCTCCCACTTCAGCCTCCCCAGTAGCTGGGATTACAGGTTTTGCCAAGTTGGCCAGGCTTGTTTCAAACTCCTGACCTCAAGTAATCTACCTGCTTCGATCTCCCAAAGTGCTGGAATTACAGGCATGAGCCACCACACCAGGCCTTGTAGTTTCTTATAAGTAGAGCCACTAACAAAAGAGGGAGCATTCCTTCTTTTGCTGCAGATGCCATAGCCTGTAACAGTAGTTTCCAACAAACATGCTTCTTTCACTGTACTCTGTGACTTGCCTCAAATCCTTTCCCGTGAGAATCCAAGAACCCACTCTTGGGGTCTGGATCATGATCCTCTTTTCTGGCAACATCTTTCTGGTGTCCTCGTATGAGGATTGACAAGAAGAAGAAACTCCCACTCCGAAGGAAAACAGTCTGCGTAGCATCGATTGGCTGACTTTGGGTAAGCGGGGCTCATTTTAGAGTCATTAAGCCATTCTGGGGGACAAGAATGCTTGTCCACTACTACCTGGGTCAGAGGCCCAAGGCTCAAGGGGTTACAAGCACCAGGGTTTATTTGGGAAAATGGATTTAGCCCTATGAGATGTTTGCCACTATCTCCTTGGTAGTAATCCACATTGTGCTCTCTGCTGCTGGCCTGATCCTCCTGCTTCTTGTCTCCTGTTGGCTTGCTGCCTTTGTTTCACAGAAGCCCTGAGGCTGCCACAGAAAGGAAGGGTGGCCTAAACAGTTTAGCTTCTTTTTTTTTTTTTTTTTTTTTTTTTTTTTTTTTTTTTGAGACAGTGTCTCACTCTGCCACCCAGGCTGGAGTGCAATGGTGCGATCTCGGCTCACTGCAACTTCCGCCTCCTGGGTTCAAGCAATTCTCCTGCCTCAGCCTCCTCAGTAGCTGGGATTACAGGCACCTGCCACCATGCCCAGCTGTTTTTTGTATTTTTAGTAGAGACAGAGTTTCACCATGTTGGCCAGGCTGGTCTCAAACTCCTGACCTCAAGTGATCCGCTCACCTCAGCCTCCCAGAGTGCTGGGATTACAGGGATGAGCCACCATGCCCGGCCACCAAACAGTTTAGCTTTTACTTTCCTTGCCTCTCGTCTCACTCAATTTGCCACTTGTCTGAGGGACACTGGAAACAAGAAGTCTCT